GCGACGCGGGGGTGGATTTGGGGAAAGCTGCCCTCGAGCCAGGGCGAGTCAAAGGGATGGAAAGCTGGAAAACTGTAAAACGAGGAACGAAGAAAACGGGATAATGTAACAAACACGGAACACACGGGCGCGGAGCTGGGACGGTGCCCCAGCGTGCAGTATTGATCTGGTGCGGTGCCCAACTCGACGACCAATGGGAGCGCGGGATTGGCTTCCACTACGCGAGCAGAGCTGAGCGTAGCCGCCTGCCAGGTGAGGGCCTGTGCGCTCCGGTCGATGCAAATCATATTAGCCCGCCTGGGCCTGTTCCCTACCGCGACGGGGCACTTAGCATCGAAAATTCTCACCCCGCGCCTCCTGACATCCCTTTAAGAAGTATTAACCCCTGATTCTTGGCCTTCTTGGTCGGTTCTTCGTGGAGTTCTCGGGCTTTTGCCTAGCTCATTAGCCGGTGACAAATGATGCAACCCGCACGGCATTCCGACCGCTTAGCGCCGTGTCGCCCTGCATTTTCGTCGTTTCCTAGACAAGACAACGTGGCTACATTCTGCATATCGTCACCTTCTAGCGAAAGTATCACAAGCGCCATGCGACGTTCATCAATTTCCGCCGCTATTTTATTAATTACATAGAAATTCTTCAACCAAGCTGTCCAAAAATTTCGCTGAATTTTTTTTTTTTTTGTGGTGCCAATAAAATACAGTGAAACTTTCAAAGAGATTCAACCAACAATTTCTCTGTAAAAATATAAAATGGCGGCGGGAATTTCGAAACGTCGCATGGCGCTTGTGACTCTTTGACCGGAAGGTAACGATATTAGATCGTTGCGCCATTCTCACTGGCAAATTGTATTTTTACCAAAAAACTGAAGGACCCGCCTCTGAATAGCTCAGACATCTTAAGGCTCATGGGGCTCTTAAAATGTAAAAAAATAGCGGGTAGTGCATAAAGATGATTGAAAAGTGCAAATGTGAAGTTTAATTTGCTTGCATTACCGTGATATTTACGTAGTTTATGCACAGTCAGGAATATTGCCTGACCGCAATAGTACTCATTAATTTACACATTATATACATATTAATATACTCATTTTTGAAGCCAGTTTTGTACATTTCATTTGAAAAGACTTTCTTCGTTTGAAATTCTATGACGGAACCTGGCAGGCGATAAACGTCAAAGGTTGGCATACAATATCCTCTCTCTCGCTCTCACATAGAGTTGCTACCATTTTCCTCTGTATCCTAGGGGTCTTCACGAGACTCAGCGGCCACATTCTGCCTATGAAAGTACTACATTGATGGACGCTTCTAATTGAAACTTTCCTCGAGTTTTACTATTTATTATGCTTATATATCAGCCAGATTTTTTACAAAAATATAGCAATCATATTCCTGTAAAAAATGAATCGTTTGGGTCAATTTTGAAACTGCGAAATGGATCTATACTCTTTCGTCTAGAAAAAGGCGTTTCGTGGCGTTTTAAGAAATACAATTTTTCTATCGTAGTTTTAAATTTGTCGTTTCCCAAGCGAAAAAGCGTAGTTCCGTTCTGAGGATTTAAAACTGACTAAAACGCCTTACGTTTTTCTTATCAACCAAAATATGACTGTACAATTATTAGCCAAAATGTAGCTGATTTTTGTGTGCAACCAGTAAAAGAATCAGTATAAGTTTGAGTTAGAAATGCTCAACAGTACCTCTGTGTTATGGTTTCGAACTAATTCAATTGTTTTTATGATTTTTGGGGCTCTCATAAATTTTCATAGTTGTACTTTTGTCCCCCGGCGCGGCGTCACAATCAGTGGCGAGACGTGAATGATCAACTGGCGATAATTCCCAAATTGAAGTTATAGTAAAGAATCGATTATTAAGGTGTTGGTTGCAAACACTCTGTTTATCGATCCTTTTCCATGTGTTTAAATGGCAGATCAGTCGATAAAGCGCAAAGCACGTGCCACTCCACTAGTCACAATAGACACAACTTAGATATTGCAGATAATTTTAGGAATTTTCACTTGAATTCTATACAATCGACCATTTCAAAACTTTTTATAACTCACGCATTCCGCTAACGAAATTTGTCTTTAATCATGATTTTTTGCGGGGTAAATCTGAGGATAAAATCTCATTAATTCTAAACTTTTGCACCCTTATTTTTTGCTCCCTCGTAATCCGACGTAAGCCTCTTTTTTTCTCGCTCTCTGAGGGCTATATTTTTAAGAGGACAAAATACCAATCCATTACGTGCGAGGGGTCAAATATTGACCCTAAGGCCCTCTTTTTCTTTTGCACCACTTTCTCTCCTTCAGAACATTCATAATATTTTTATGGTTCTCTTAATAGGTCTACCTTCGACAATATCGTCTTCAGGGAAATATATTATTCCACCAGGTTCACTTCCTTCTGGCCTTTGACTTCCCCGCTAAAGATCAACTTCTATCGAAGAGGCGGAACTTTTATGGAGGCTTTTAAAAAGTATATATTAATAAAACCATCATGTTAAATGTTGGGTATCACCCATACATTTTACAAAAAACATACAAATACAAGAAACTTTATTTCGAAGAGAGTAAAAATCTCAAGGATATTTGAATTTTTTATTGCTGCTCTTTCAGCCTCCGGTAATGATTGCTTTCTGGAAGAAATGAATGACTACAAATTTTGGAAGACAACCAGGTTGAAAACCAGCGGTTAGTATGGAAAGTATAACTTAAACATTGACAGCTGGTTATGTAACTATACAAAATTTTTTAAAGGTACTGATTGTGGAAACATTTTATTCCTTTACCAAATGATCATCATGAAAGGACCTGAACTTCACAAGTAAATTATCACAGTGGTGATGATGAAAATTTTGCCACGAGGAACAAATCAAGTCCGGTTCACGAAATTAATGGATCTCAACCTAACAGTTGTGACCTCAACAGTGACCAATTTTCCTGTTGTCATGATTAGATACTTTTACCTATTCTTCAAGGTATTTCATTTTTCAGGGCTTCAAATAATGACAAAAAATAGAAATGCTCAACCGACGAGAAAAAATCCAAAACATACAATAATACAAATAATACAACATTAGATTTATTTGTAGTCGACAGCAGAACTTTTTTTGAATGATGGTTGAATAATTTAGGATTATTCATGCTGATGGTTGTCATCACTTTAGATAAACAGTGTTCTTCAAAAAAGGAGCCCTTATGAATGGCAAATGTTTATTGCTTCGTATTTATAGAAGTGCACAGAACAGTTTAAAAACCATACAATCATTCATTTTTCATCATAAAATGCCTGAAGAATGTCAAGGAGGAAGTTTACTTGATTATTCGAGAGAAATACTTATATTGAGCACGAGAAAGACATTTCCTGCATGTTTTTCCAATGCGTTATATTTATCACCGGGAAAAAATTTTCCAGTCAATGATCCCCGGACGAAAATTCTGGTTTAGTGAACCGGATATATCTTTTAAGTGACAGGACGTCTCTTTGAAATAAAGGGAAGACTATTTTACTCTAATTTTGTACTTGCCACTGTCCCTTTGTAGGCGTCGCCTACATCAGAATTGCCTAATATTCTCTGATGTTCTATTTTAAAAAAAAAGAAAAACAAATTGAGTAATACTGTAAATTCTGAGAGTGAATTTTTATATGATCTACAGCAATCCAACACAATTAAAAAAGTCGTATCAAGTTGAAGGAAGTTGAAATCGCCGGTAGAATATACATACAAATTCTGTTACTCGCGAGCATTCTGGCATTTCCATAAATTGCGATATTTACGAATTTGTTTGCGATGAATGGAAAACAAATGCCAGAATGCTCGTGAGTAACACAATTTTTAGTCGTTAAGTTGTTTAATCTTTTGTTAACAGATACAACTTAGGAAAAAATTAGGCAACGTGAAATGCAGTTGGGCTGGTTTGGGCTGACCGGTCCAATTGAAAGGCGAGTCCTATTTTATGGGTCATTTAGCATGTTTCCGACAACCTCGCAGGCCAGGAACAAAAAAAAAGAAAGAAAAAAAATCGGAAAGCGCAGGATGAAGGTGCTGAAGTTGCGACGCGATGGAGGGCGAGATAATCTTATCCGCATGTTAATGTTATCCGATGCAGGGCTCGCGATCCTGTCCCTTTACCCTTAGTCGAGTGCATCCCTCGAAATCTTCGTTTGACCGGTGGCACGGCTATAACAAGATCCCTTCCAAGCTTACTCAAGTAGCTCTCTAAGTCGCTCCGGCGTTACGCTGATGCTCATCCCTTTTTTTCCAACTCGAGTCGCTCAACTTACTTCCGTGATCGTGTTCCGGAGCTTTGTCTTAAGGTGTACTCGCGACTTGGAGTTGAATAGTTTCGCAGAAAATGAAGGAAAAACATTGCAGGTGAGAAAATCTGTGTGGGAAAGAAAGCCAATTGAACAACTTACGATCTTAGGTTAAAAGAGTGCATTCATCTTGCGAGTGTAAAGGCTGTTCAAATACTTCGCACCGGGCTTTGGGACGCACTGTGGATCGAGTCAATAGGAGAGATCCGAAAATTTTTTGAAACTTTAAACGATTATAACTTCGTGTATACAAAACTTTGAGGTCCTGAAATTGGTTCCATTGGTTTCGTCGTGACATTTTCACTCAGAGGCACCCTTTAGAATTGTTTAATGTGTGACGAAATAAACATAAAAATTTGTAGTTTTAGTTAAAAATGTATGTTCGACCTCTGATCGACTCGATCTACCGTGCGACAAGAAAAGGAGAGAGGGGCATGCTCAGTCTTACGTAAGCCACCCACTTTTAGAAAAGCAATATGAACTTGCACATATGGACTGCATTTTGCAATTTGGAACTATAAATTCTGGCACTTCTGGAAAAACACTCATGTGCATAGAGAAAATAATGGCATATACTTTGTTTTTAAACCGGGCTAGAATTTATTGTTCCAAATTGCAAAATGTAGTCCATATGATTGTTGCAAAATAGGGAAAATCTAAAAACGAAATATTATCTCTACTCACCTCCTCGGGTTTGTCATCCTGGCTCAAAAGCCGCGTCGGAATAAGCCGTTTCGGCAAAGACATAATATTTTCCCGCCATGCTGAAATCAAAAGTTAGAAAAGGGACGTTAATTTTTCGTTAATAATAATTTCACCTCAGTTGAAATATTGCACGTTGTTTACGCTTTGAATAATACAGGGTGACGAAGTTGTTCGCACTGCTCATTTAGTAAAGCCTGCTATAACCGTAGTAGCGCGCGATATAATTCAAGTAGACTCTGGTTTTTCATGTGAGCAGGATGCTCAAATTTTTCGTAACCAATATGCAAAAAACGTCATTATATTGGTTGAGAGTTAAAGTCAGCAAATTTCTCATTGCGCAAATCGTATATTTTACCTAAAAATTCTAAGAAAAAACATGTATCGGAATGCTGAAATGCGTACTTTGGCTGGTGGTTCAGTGTCTCAATTTTACAGAGGAAATACTGATTTCTTTCTAATAAAATTCACCCTGTTCATGGCCGGATTCACCTACTTGCCGCCCATGGGTCGCCTGTATTTTGCCGCCCCCTTCTCATTCATTTTGAAACTCGATAAAAACCATCAAATGAACGTGTCAGCGGGGGAGGGGTGCATAAGACGCATTTACTCGTGTTGAGCACATTTTTTGGGAAAGCCCTCTCAACACTTCTAGCAAAAGTTCACGGAACTTTGCGGAAAAGTTAAGTTCCGTAAACCTATCTCTGTGTAGACAAGGCCTTCCATTCATGAGAAATGAACGAAAAAATTATGAAAGAACAAACATAAATGTGGATCAATGATTTTAACTTCCGCCGCCGCGCCTCACAGACCGAACCGTGTTTGGCGCAATGCGTGAAGTATTCCGATTGTCTTGTAGGCACTATGCGTTTCACGCCGACCGTTGCTGAACGCACTGTGTTGAACGCAACGCGTGAAGTATTCACGCAGTCTTGTAGGCGCTATGCGTTTCACGCTGACCACACTGTGTTTGGCGCAGTGCGTTAAGTATTCGTGCAGTCTTGTAGGCGCTAATATGTGTTACATGCCTATCGCCGCGCCGAGGGCTTCTCCTTTTCATCTCATTCCTCGTTATCATTTCTCTCTAAGTCGCGCCGTTCTAGGCCAAATTGCGTGTTTGGTTTCTCTCGTAACTTGACGTATTGAGGGTATGCTGTCTCTTGTATCACTAAGAGACGACAAAATTAGAAATTACTTTACTCTCAGGAAATGAGAGATTTTGTCGCCTTTTCTCGTTTGCAATTTTGTTTTTATAAATCCGATTTTTTTTACACCTACACTTCAAAAAATCGCAAATTTTTGCCGCCCCTTAGATTTGCCGCCATGGGCCGCGGCCCATGTGGCCACCCCCTGAATCCGGCCCTGACCTTGTTGGGTACATTTTGGACGGATGAATTACGGCCACACAGCCACGCTAAGGAAGAACGCCATATGAACATTCGAGAGTTGTGAAGCTTCCTCCTCAAAAATGTTTATTTTTGAGGAAAACTATCAATATTTTTATTGCAATTTTCAGACTTTTTAGATCAAATCACGCACAAAATCATCTGAGAAATTGGCAGAAAAATATGCCTTTTTCTTAAAAATTAGTGATTTTTCGAAGGGAGTTTGGCAACGCCTAAAGGCTCATACAGCGTTTTTCCTTAGCTGGCAGCACAGCGGTGCCTCGCCGTAAGAAGCCGGCTGATTGGGTGGCGTTGAGGTTAGGCACATGACAAAATGACATTAATCACGAAGTGGTGATACGGGGCTTATAGAGCGATTTTCCCCCTCGCCCCGAAACCCCTTGCTTACAAACCTCACGTTTTCATCTGGGGCTCAACCTGGATTAGTGTCCCTAGCAGTCTCAAAAACACCCCCAGGACACTCGGCTTACGCCCGCCCTCCCCTCGCCCTCGTCTAGATTAAATTTATATCCCCCTCTCCCTCCCCCGCGCACGATCCTCGTCTTCCTCGAATTTTCTCTCTCTTTTTTATTATTATTTCACGTCTCGATTTAAATTCAAAACAATCTTATACACAATACCATTTTATGCTCGGGAATATAAACACCACTATTCTTTACGGCCCGGTGCTATTCCTCATGCTCACTCTTAGTCGCCTTTTGACTTGAGGGGTTTTTTTCGGTCCCGTCGGTGACTCTCAATTCTCATCAGCAGTTTATTTTTATGCACCGATCTTCGATTCCCAGCTTTTCCTTCTACTTATCGCCCTCTGTTTGTAACATCCTTTTCGATCTCCTCCTTTTCTCCTTAAAGTTTTTATCCCGCCCCAACCTATTTCTTTGCCTATCCATTCCCTCTACCAACGATAGCTGTTTTTTGGACGGATTTCTGCCAAACGGAACTATGTGCATTGTGACGTGAGCCCTGTTATGCATACATTCTTATGGGTCTCAGGGCTCATGTCTTAATGCACATAGTTCTGTTTGGCAGAAATACGTCCATTTCACCTATGAGTGGTCACATACTGGTGAGTCATCCAGGCCGAAGTTTTTTATGTTGAATTCAGCATTGTTTTTCATCATTTTGCTGCAAATTGATGTTTTTACTGCACATGCCTCCCGCACAAGACCAAAATCGGTCTTGTATCTTGCTGTATCGCCAGTGTTCTTTGCCAATGAATGGTTGACATTTAACAAAAATAATCAGTTCAATCGATCACCGAGTTATTTCAAAAAGGTGTCGTAAAGAGGAGGCTGAAACCCGCAATGAAGAACATGGTTTTTCCTCGTTTTGAATCTTTTTTGACCAAAGTGAAAACGCGTCTCAGGTTGAATTACGAATATATTTTTTTGGTATACAGGGTGTCCCAGACCAGTCTTATCAGTTATACCAGTCTTTTTTCTCGGTTATTTTAAGTCAGACGAAGTCGAACACTGCGGCTCTCATTATGGCAATTTAGCGAACTAGAGTCGATCTAAGGAAGTCATATTTTACGGCTGCGACCCCCCCCCCCCATTGGCCTTCTACGAGGAGCAAAAAAGGTCAAAACTTTAAAATTTAGGGCACTAATCAAAGTTTTAAAACTATTCCATCAAATTCAGAAAGTACGGACAATTTTATCGCAGGTTGATACCGAGAAATCCGAAATAGATCTATTTCTGTCAGAAATATTGATTCCTTAAGGCGCTTTCGGTAGAAACTATATAAATAATTAATCTTACTGGATTTTTGCGTGAAATTGCCAAGACAGAATGAAGTGTATTATTTTTGGGACTTTCATTAATGTAAAGTCGGGGCATTGTCAACAGTTTTCGATGAATAAGCGTTCCTCCAAACGGGAGCCGATCAGACTCTGAATGAAAACATTTTTCTGGAGAATGAGCATGACTGATCAAATTGATCATTCAAAACGTAGCCTCCAGGGAATTGCTTGTGAACGTGGAAGTAAAAATACATGGACGCGCAGGATGCTAGCGGCAAAACTTTGTACCAACTTGAGCCCCGACCATAGAATTTTGTTTTCTTTCTTCTTTTATTTTTTGCATGAATGAATAAATGAATGAATGAATGACGTACATCAGCCTCGTTACGTATGTTTGGTGATTCTATATTTATACTTTTTTATTTTCTTTAATGGCGGCCTCCGCCCCGAACTCAGCGAGCTCTGAATAATTGATAACGATAACAGATGGGGAGGAAAAAGATCTCGGTGTTGTCATGTCTCCAAAGATTATTTTTCTCTTTAAATCTACCTGCGGGTAACAATCCCCCTCATAATTGACCTGATGGAACTGGATTTAGCCTAACTACGTCACTCAGTACCTAATTTTTTCTAATATTTTATTTTTTAAATTGGAAACCAACCAACATTGATCTTTGAAATTCGGTGAGTTTCGGTGGAAAGTATGTGAACTAGTCAGAACGAATCAAAACAAAATATTAACTTTAATAGTCGTATCAAACGGTGAAAAATAAATTTCGGAAAAATTTTTCGCAAAATTTCATGATTTTTAATTTTATTAAATACCACCCTAAGACTCACTAATACTCTTGATTATAATTCTCGTTAAAGAAGCGCTCTAATAGCGGAATCTAAGTCACATTGTACCATGATAGGTAGATAAAAGGTTTGTTTGGCCACAGCGCAAAGCTCGGAATAAAAAGTAAAAAGGTACATGACATATTTTGAGAAGACTTTGGATTGGATTCAGTCACGAATTACGATCGCTGTCCGGTATTTCGTTTCCATGGTAACATAACCCTCGTTGCTGTGCTATTTAAATATTTTATGATCTCATCAATTATTTTAGATGCAACTTAAGCTCCACGTTTTTTTATCTCATTTTGACCCGGAATTTTGTATTTGTTCCGTAATCCACGTCTGCTAAAGCTGGTAATATTTGAAAGGGATTCCGTGCTTGATATTAATAAACTGAACGAAGAAAGCAGCTTCAGTCGGATAGACAAGGCTGTTTTTTTTTAAATAACTAAACTAGGCGCACTGTCACTCATTGCCATGATCGAACCATCCAGTACTACTGATTGGAGATGCAATTATCACAAGGGGTATTATTCACATGACTGAAAATTTTAATCACAGGAATCGAATTGAGGGTTGGTGCGTTTAAGAGTTTGGTCCTTTTGCACGAGCATTTTTCTCGACTGGAAGTAACCTATTTTGAAATCAAACGGCCTAAAGTCATTTTCACTAGGTAATACACTGTTATCCACTGATGATAACTTATTCTTCTATTTCTACCGTTGTTCTGGCAGCATGAATATCTGTACAGTTTTTCCGTCGAGAAATCACCAATAATTTCAGTTCCACGGAAAGAATATTTCAGGGTTGTCCCCTAAAATTGTGCTACTCCAATTCGTTAGTTCATGTGGGCTTTTCCAATGAATTTTGGTAGTACCCCAAACGTGAGGAAAGTAACCTAATTTATTGCGGCACTGCCACAATTAATTTGAGTACTAACACAATTAATTGAGGAACTACCGTAATTAATTGGAAATGTCCATGTCATCCAACAACCCCGTGCTCTTTTTTTCGTATTTGGGTTGATCTAACCGGAATGATATAATATCATCAAACAACACCTAATTTTTTTCAGTGT